ACATCGCCAACTATATTTCGACAAAGAAAGAACAAGTTCTTCTTCTTTTTTTGAGTTCTTTTCTTTACTAATCTCTGTAAAAATTTCTCTCATATTTCCTACATTTGAGTTAACGGAAGATGTAACTCGAGGTACGAACTAATTACGGATTCGAATAAAGTGATTAGTGACCTAATGATAGCGAGGTTACTGAATATTGCGTCGCGATAATCGCGCATTATTTCACCGGTCACGTTTCCACGAAGGGGATTTTAAACCGTAACGGTTGAACCGGAGGAGATGAACGTGATCATCCCTTAATTATAACAACTCACGTATCTTAGCTATCCGCGCGCGAGATTATTCTCGGGGTTTGCGTTAATTCAATTTTCGCGTATACGTATTGACACAGACTGCTCGGAATCTCGCAACGCTGACTACGGAAGGAACGTAATAACGTGTGTTATACGAGATGCGTTTAATCATTTCGCAGGCACGACGATAATCCACATAGGCGTTACACGCAATTCCAAGTTTTCGTATCCGCGTGTAATCGGACGTAATGAAAGTCGTATATAATTCGCGTAAACTTCTGGAACTCCTAAAGCACAGTGTATCGACTTAGCGGTACTTCGTAAAGTGTATCACGACGCATCACTCAGCGAATTCGAAACGACATTACACAGAAACTGAAATTTAACGCTCGCGATAAGAACGGCGCGGTAGTCGACGAGAGAGATTAGGATTTCGAGATCCAAAACGCATTTTCGTCGCCTCGGAGCTCGGAGATTTCGGAGATGGACCATTATCACGGAAGTCATCCGCCTGGCAAGCGCGTTTCACATTCTTGCGAAGTGCACGTTCTTAGCTATGTCGCCTGGCTTGGCAAGCGACGCGTCGAGAAACATCGTCGCGTCGTATCTGTAATGCGCCCGCTATTGCACCACTCGACTGTTCGCTATTCCATTTCTTCCCCTTTCCCATCGCTTTCGATCCACTTGCCGGTAATCTCTATCTTCCCATCCGCGAGAACTCATTCTCGCTCCTGATGTTTAAACATACAAAATCTCCTGATGTACGGGGTGTCAGCACACAGGGTTCTCGACAGATACGCAGATACGTGGAAATGTGTGTGAGAAGACTATTATTTTTCATGTTGTTCATAACTTTTGTATTATTAATTAAAAATTTGCGGAATAAATCCTAATAAATCCTTATAAATCCGACCGCGGGAATGTAAGTTTATGATGAAACTTTATTTTTCAGCTTCACGTAAATTTTCATTTAATCGTCAGTCAAAGTTATACGCTTGAATCATATACATATACGCCGCACCTATTAAAAACTTAATTTATTACTTACTATGTTTATAGTAAACGAACTATATCAGTAAAAACTTTGTACTGTCTACACTACTATGAAAAAAATATTAGAAATCCGAAATATTTATAAACCCTTACATTTTTGTGCCATATATTCCATAGGGGTGGGATATATGGCTACTCATAGGGGGAGGGGGGGATATGTACGGCTCATGAAAAATTTACAAATAATGCATATAAATAAGACGTATAATGACATAATAATAACTTATATGTATAAAATTTGTTTATAAAGTTTTATTAAGGAATAAGAATGGTAAATATGTATATGAGGTAATAAGTAAGACGTATAATGACATAAAAGCTTATATATATAAAATTTGTTTATAAAGTTTTATTAAGGAATAAGAATGGTAAATATGTATATGAGGTAATAAAATAATAATTATGATCTTTCTACATATACTACAAGTATTATGACATGAGGTACATATTTCATATAATGCGTTTATCTCGCTCGCTAAAAATGCCGTATACCCCAAACAGGTGGGATATGCAAGGTAACAAACTAAACAAAGAATACGAAAGCAAAGCTCTTGTATTTTGCTACACAACATGCTTTACTATTCCACTACACTACATATATGTATCACGAAATAACCACTAAGTCTTTTACACGCCCTACATAAATCATTTTATGTAGATTGTAATTTATGATGACGTTACTTATTACAGTGTGACAAATCGATTAAACTCACAATAAATTCATTAATATTAACAGTAAAAAGCTGAAATCATAACACAATACTAATATAACATAAAGACATGTAACAGAGTAGAGTTACGGGAAAATTATCCCTACTCCTTCTATTTTTTCTGACTTCTGCGGTGTAAATCCCAGCGCGGCGTATTTACCGGAATTACCCTAATTATGCATAAAGATTTCCATGAACACAAAGCTTTCTGAAATAACCTTGTAAAAAAGAGAAAAAGGAAATAACGGCTCTATATTTCTTTAATTATCTCAAAACTACATTAATGATAGGGGAGAAGCGCGGTATCTAAAATGTCGGTGTGGGAAATGAGATTTGTTGGTTCCAGAGGTGACAATTGTTTTAAGAAAAAGAAGTAAACCGAGATATACACAAAAAGCGCGCTTTATAAGTATATTCGGCGTAGAAGCGCGCGTACGACAATAGTATTTGCAGGTTCCATTGTTCTTTTAATTAGTTGGTATTCCCTCGGGTATTTCTCGTAGGTCTGGAAACTAGCTGGGTAAAAGGTGGTCAGCAAGTCATCGTTGTACGAGGCAGGTCGACTAAGAACAAAATTATCGCGTTTGTTGAATACTCGTCTTCTCATTGAATGCGACTCGGGATGGTGGAATTCGCCGCCGTTCTCCTCCGAATGAATATGCGCGAATGAGAAGGGCGGAAGAAAGAGGAAGAATTTTCTTAATATATGACATCGTTGCCTTTTTACATAGGTGAACCATTCGTTTTACCGACTATCGTTAGCATAATGCACGAAGCTCCTCTTTCTCGTCTTTGTTGCGCGATTAGGGATTCTTATACCTACGGCAGCGTTCTCGTTCATCTCTCGAGCAAATCCGGAGAATCAAATCCGGAAAAGAGCACGCGATCGTTACGTATGTAGAACATCTGTTCGAACGCGCACTGTGCTATTAAATGAAAACGCATCGAAATATTTCGAAAATTATAGTCCCGTAGGAATTTATGAAGTAGGCCACGTTCGAAGCTTGCATTGCACGCACCAATGGGCTGCAATTAATCTTTATCTGGTTTTGGAATATTCACGAAACAATTACTACAATGTAACGTTTCTCTTTCCCTCTTTTTCTGTTTTATTGACAAGAACGAATTAAAAATAAAAATTTTAGTTACGATAATTATTATTGAATTAAAGGAGAGAGAGAGAGAGAGAGAGAGAGAGAGAGAGAGAGAGAGAGAGAGAGAGAGCTATCTGTACAAAGGGAAAAAAACGAAGAATATTTCTCTCCACTTTTAAGCGCTCTGCTTCTTGCAATCGAATTTTGTGCGTTTGGCGAATAATGGCATTCCCCTTTACGAGCATAATCGAATGCATGTCGGACAAAACCGCGCTCGCTGAGAGCTTCCTCCTACTGCATGTCGTCGATTTTGTGCACCGTCATATCCTTCGAATTTATACGTTCTGTTGTAACTTAAAAAAAGAGAGAGAGAGAGAGAGAGAATGAGAGAATGCGAAAAAGAGACGAGGGTTTGACATCACGCGGTTTTCCTCGGCAAATAAACGCCGCTGAATCGTGTCACGATCTTGAAAAAGTCTGTGCATTCGGGCGAATAAAAAACCACTGTGCCCCGAATATCCGGAACGAAATGGGATAATAAAACTATGACCAACTGCAGCGTTCCAACCTTTGGTATTCTGTGTACCATGGATGATGCATTGTGTTTCCAGGCTTTGACAGAGGAGACAATTTATCTTTAAGACTTTGATTATAGCTTGCTGTTTCATCGATGAATCCTAAAAATTCAAGTTTGGCCTTTTATTATTGAAAACATAATGATACGTGTTACTAAATTTATTTAGAAATTATATCTATTAAAAATTTAATCAGGTTCAAGTTCATTAAGAACTCTTTTAATAAAATATTAATATTTATATCACAACGTAACTTTACGTTGTTATTTGATTTCGTTAGTTTAAAACTCTCTCTCTTTCTCAAAGTTCAATTGTTTCTTTTAATCTGAGATACAGCAAACCTCGGAAAAAAGGTAACAGTCTTAAAAAAACTTATGCAGACGAGCGTAAAAACCGCAGACTGCCTGGAGTGTTCGACAGCAAGCAAAAGATAATAAAACAGTGATCGACGAATGTAGGAAGTTTAAGCGAACTCCACGCGGTATTTAGTAACGCTAGACGCGAAAAGAGAGACGCGATAGTAGACGGATCGTATGCAAATCACGATGGCGGCGATCGTAAACTCCCTCGCCGCCCAGAGCCAGCCGGCTGGACTATTTCCCAATGTGGGAAAATACGTATACGATATCTGATGCGGAACCATTTGCACGAGCTAGGGTTTGGCTTTAGTTAAATGAAGACGCGCTTTGAAAGTGATCTTATCGGTGCACGTGTTTATCGACTCTCCATCTAACGCGACCATCTCCGACGAATTGGATCAATGAATCTACCTACTGAAAGTAATTAATTTGCCTTAGTGGCAGGTAAATCGTTATATATACAAACAGTATCATTCGATTAAAAAAAAACGATCGTATTAACAGAGCATAGCAGACGCCTGATTAATTCATCCAATATTTTCAATCTTGCTTTACGCCATGTTTGCTGTTATTTATTATTACACATATATATATATATTGTATTTATTTGTAATTCTCACATCAACAATAAATGAGATGTCCATTACACATTTTGTTAATGCAATATTGTACATAAATATAATAATAATAAATAACAGATAATTACAGTCACTATATAATTCTTTATTTTCCTCTATTTTTCAGATTATTTGCTTTACGTTGCTTTCAAAGTAATAGTATTGTATTCTTTTTCTGTTATAATAATAACTGTCGTGTAAATTAATAAGAGAGAGAGAGAGAGAGAGAGAGAGAGAGAGAAAGATTATTCTTAATATTTATCTTCCGCCTTTTACAAGGATTCTATCGGTGCAATTTCCTAATGAGCACACAAATCCGAGATGAATAAAGGCTTCAAGAATTCAACCGGCAGGAGAAATATGACCGTTGAATTCCTCTTGCTGCATATGTTGTTCAGGGTATCGCAGCTGCCGGCAAAAGTATAAATATGACGAATTTTTTCTCCACATATTATCTTCTAATTATAACACCCAATCCACGGACGAGGTGGATCTTGTTTAACCGCGTCACGTGTCGTGCTGTAAATAAAATAAATAGTCAAATAAAACCTCTCATTTTGTTCTATGCATAAAATTTGCACAGCAAAAATTGTTTAATATTTTTGAGAAAAGAATCTACGGAACGAGAGTGCGCAGTAATTAAGCTTATCATTTCATTCAATTTTATATCATATTCACTGTTACATTCTTTTCGGTAATTAAAAAAGGATTTTTGCGGGTCTGTTTAGTTACAGTGCCGATTTTATTTAACGAGTAATTTTCAATACATGTATGTACAGCAATTAATATACATTTCTGAGCGTTACAAGAGGTACGAGATTCGATAGTAATAAAACAAAGCATGGAGATAAATGGAAACAATGTACGATTGTAGATAATTAGCACCGGCATCTGGTCGCAAGAGACAAAATGCCAGTGCGGATATGTGCGCTGCGTACCTGCAGTGCAGCAGGACTCGTGGAAATGACGTCGCTGGCCTCTTTTAGGAAATGGGAAGCTCGCATTTCTCCTTCTGCCGTAATCACTTTGGCCCTATATAGCCTTCCTCGTAGCTTCCGCCTCCATGGCCATAGCTCGTTGGAACTGTACCGGAAGTCGGACGTCCTTTCTGAAACAGAGGTATCCGTTAGGTATCCGCGTAGGTTTCAGGCAACCGCGTGGAAATACATGGACGAACATGCGAGCGTGAACGTGAATGGCGTTAAGACTGTTATGATGTTGAATGGAGTTAAGATTGTTACAACAATTATTATGATTACTATCACTGTTACTTCTTCGCTTTCAAATCATTTCTAGAAATGTGTCAATAGTCAGCATTTCGATCTCATTTCAATTCATTTTAATGAAATAAAAGAATTTTCTGTAGAAAATTCTTATACTTTTATATCGTATATTCTTGGTAAAATAATATGTGCAAAAAAGCTTATGATTGTACCAAAAAAATGCAATCACATCGATTATTTTTTACAGGATATTATTATATCAATGCGATTGCACTTTCTTAGCGAAATCATAAACTTTTCTTGCACATATTATTTTATTTAGTATCGATACATATTATTTATAGTTGATGATTATTCCTCAGTGAATGAGTACAAAATCGCTCACAATGAGACTATTTTGATCACGAGTTACAATATTGAAACGGTAATATTGCTATGGTGTTATGTGTAATGTGCAATATGCAGCTATAATCTAATTACTCCTTAATAACACTTCGTCGATGTAAATATAAACGTATCGATTCGTTTCGTCCGACTGTGAAATTTTATCGGTCGCGCGGCGCGGCGGTGAAATAAACGACCATTGACTTGTTTTACGCGAACGCGGATTCGACGAACACATTTAAATTTTAAATCACGCCTCGTTCTACCCTTTTTTTTTATCTCTGTCGGTCGAAATACATTTTCGTTAGCGCATTATTTTTATCGAATCACCCTCGCGCAGCTGCACAACGTTCGTATTATTTGCCGATCAAGCGATTTCGCATTGATTTGCATTGGTCATTCGTTCATAACAATCTTTTTTGGTTCTTGTATGACCACTGTTAATGTGAGAAGCAAAGATTTTAGAGAAATCTGCAAGTATTTAATCCTAATAATCTATTATCAATATGAGATGCTAAATAAAAGATAATATTGCTATCGCGACATTAAAACACAATTGGTGTAAAATCTACATCAAAGTCAGAAAATCACGGAAGATTAATTTACAAAATAGCGAATCTTTATCTTCTTGTCGCTATCCTAAATATAAACGAATTAATAATATTACACAATTATATATTACAGAATTAATAAAATTACACAAATGATAAGCCTGTAACGAGAGAAAACAATTCCTTGATCGTGCATGACTGCGATACATTAAAGTATATCAAGCTAAAATATTCACAACTCGACTTTGATTCCCCAAGGATCTGTTGCCTTGTCCAAAGTAATCTGCATGATGTAGGAAATGATCTCCCACTCCGAGAGGAGTTTATCTCAGGCATCTCAGCGAGGCTAAAGTCATTAAATAACTAAGTACCGCAAACTACCGCCATTTTAGCTCCATGACGCGCGGTTATTCAAAACTTACATATGACTGTATTATATTATAAGGGAAAATAAAACCTCACAGATAAAAAATTATATCTCACAGATACATTACAGCCCTTTCCAACAATGTTTCTTTGCTAATTAATTGAAGCCATTCTTTACGTCTGTTGCCTGTTGGCAAGCGAAATAAACGGAAACCTCTTTCGTTGCAGTTTTTGCAATTCTTAACAGCAACTGGGCATTTTTACCGACGTTTTCTAACCAGTTCCAACTTTCTTACACAAAGTTACAAACAAGTATAAGGATTCTAACAGAATGAAATTAGGATTGCATTTAAGGGAGCCGGGTTTGAAGGGCAAAAAAAATCAATTTTTTGCTATTTTATTTTTGGAAAGTTGATTGTCTTGAAAATATATTGCCAAAACTGTTTATACAAATAACGTAATGGAGTTATTCACGGTTTACTGAAATGGTGCACAGGTAAAAATTAGGTACGTTTGAGTTTCGATCTCCCGCGGCGCGCGGCGATCGAGTTACTTGTTCGAATTCGAACAAAGAAACATCTGCCGTATTTCTGTCTTTTTCTACATTTCTGTTCAAACACTTCAAACGAAAGGATGAATCGTATTATGTCATTCTGTTAGAATCCTTATACTCGTTTGTAACTTCGTGTAAGGAAGTTGGAACCATGGTTAGAAAACGTCGGCAAAAATGCCCAGGAATCACCGAATAAGAAAAATTTATTACAAGTACTAAACAAACATAAGTATTCTAACTCTTCAAAACTTTAAACGCATTTTCCTCGAAACATGTTCTTTCAAATTTGTTGACATTGTAAAGAGAAAACGACTTAACGTGCTGATCGCCGTTTCTTACACATTTATCACAACTATTTTCTCCATACGATAAACCCCAAAAAATAATAAATTTTTCAAAACAATAATAGTTTTTTGTGGACAACTTAATGGAAAAAATAATGGTTAAAGAAGGATCTTTTTTTTCTTTTTATAAATGAGTAATTTTTTAATCGCGATTTTTATAATTTTGTTAGGTTTACCGTATACATTCAACATTATTAATTATAAATCAATTTGATTTTTTGATTTCAGACGACTAGTTCTGGCAATTTAACAAAACCCCATGTGGACACATTTGCCGCCATTGCTGCCTCTCTCGGTCATTTCAACACATTTTAATTAATAAAAACTCATACTTATTGTATAAAGTGCAAATAAAATATAGATCCAAACCTAAAATTGATAGCTGTAACCATTTTTCTACAAAAAATTCATAAAAAATCGTTGATTTTTGACCCTTCAAACCATCTCCCTCAATATGTATAGATATATTACGTTAAATGTAATATCTGCACTATTCGATGCCATTTTGGTTTCAAAGATATGTCACTTTCACTTTTCCATTGTGGTACCTTTAAGTATCCTTATTGTTACATCTAATTTTAAGCGAGACTACTCATGTATCACACTCGCAGCCAGTAACTGCACGAATGACTGGAAAAGTAAGTGAAAGGGATGACGAGAGCAGTCTATGACTCACCGCGCCGCAGCCATCACCGCCGTCGGGGGCGGCAAACCGTGAACGAGCCCCGTTGCTGGTAGCCGTTAAACCCCCACGGAATGCTGCTGAAACGTCGACACGCTGTGTCGACTGTTCCTCGTAATTTTTAACGGACCAGAAACCAAGCTACATGCGACCCTTTGGACGTGACTCTAAATTACTCTAAAAGCATTATCGGTGAAAGCAACATGGTGATATGTACGTCGTACTGAGCGAACGCAGACACTCGTCGACACCTTTATAACGGTGTAACAGCATATGAATGTTTTGAATAATGAATACAATTAAATTTTATTTGTGGAAAAATACAATATTATTTCTTCTTAATATTGTTGTATTAAGCCTGTTGCTCTAATTGTTAATTTAACAATTGCTACACATCTACGAAAATAAACTGAAAATTATCGCACAACCAACTTTGCAAGCACTCTGCGGCACAAAACTCGTTACGCAGTTCATCACTGTTAACCCGGAAAAGCTTTTAACATGCGCAATTAGCTTATTTTCATTATACCGCTGTGCACGTCTTGTCTCTGATTCTCGCGATGGCCAAAAATAAAGATAGAGATTACAGCGAGTACTGAGTAGAAAGGATGAAAAGGAAGGGGTTTAGGAAAAAAGCGCACGCAATCAAGTATTTAAATGCCGTGCCAACAGCACGATGGAGACGCGATGTGTAACCAAAGGAAAAACTGCAGAGCGCTTTCATCTAGCTGCTAGAAATAAACTCTGGAGTAAAACTGTCGGGATAAAGTGAAAACTGTCGGCCAGGAACGCAGACTAATAGCACAATCCACAAAGATAAGATAATATCGTAAACCAGTGCTGGTCTTATGCACCGTCAGGTAAATTGAAAAATCTAACGTCCTTCTTTCTAATATCTTTTCGCTCTGCCGCTCTTCTTCGCGTTTGATTTCAGAGCAAGAATAAACAACACTTTGATATTGCCTTCCATATCTATAGTTTGCAATTTTGACATTCAGAAGCTCCTTTATATATATATAGTAGACAATCGTATCGACTACGTTATGAAGTCTTTGATAAAGCACTTCCTGCTGCCTGCAGTGGCACGTCAAAGGACACTGCCCTCAGGTCTGCGTATGCAATAGTCAATACACAGCGTAACGAGAAATTAATTACGGACTTTTGCATCAAATCAATAGAAAGAAATATCTGTGAAATATTGTAATCATTTACACAAGTTAAAAGTTTACTCTAAATTTACCTGAGTTCTACCCTTCAAATGATCTACTTAAAGTAACGACTCTCTCGTAGGCGACTTTGAATAAACAGCAGGAGGGAAATGCGATCGTTACAAGTAATGATCCTATCGCGTCGCTAGAAATATTTGACAATCTGTGTCGCTATACTCACTTTTTCGTTTACCTTCGCACCTTAGCCACGTGACAATCATTTCAACCCCTTGCACAGGAAGAAATAGGGATATTTTAAATATTTATGTAAAATTTTAATCTTTATTTAATTATCGCTAAATAATTTTTTAAATACCTTGTATCGTTTTATTGGAATTCATATGTATATCGATTACGCGATTATAATTGATTTCAAAATAAAATGATTGTAGAGCTTAAGAATCTTCCTCGCTCAATCTTCTCGATTTTCCGTAAAGAAGACGTTTATTCAAACATTTTCGTTTTGAGCAACAGTTCAGATTTCATCAAAAAGATTAATCGAGCCATCACAAAAGTGATTAGGTAAAAGCGGGGTGATGCGCTTGCCTGATTCCGCGTTCCCGGCTGTTGATCGTTTTCTTTTCAACTATATTGCAAGCAAAGCAATCATGCAAACGCCTTTTACGGAGATCGCGCGGTTAAATTGTGCGTGAAATGGAACGTCTGCCAGAAAAGTAATTTGTCCCTTTCCGTCCATACCCTCTCTCATTAATTTTATTGCGCAGTTCCGCTCCCCGTCAGTCTTTTTTCGTAAATTCTACTTTTTATGAGAGAGAATTAAAAACTTGGGAAAGAAAATATTTGATGCGCGAAAATTCCGCTGGTTATGATACTACATTTAAATATTAGCGTAATTTTAGTTTTATCGCTGATATAATTTCCGTAATTTACGTGTTAGTGGAGAAGCAAGAGAAGAGAATTATTTTTCCTTTCGCTGAAGAAGGCAGGCGATTTATTTCCTTATTGCGAGCTCTTATACATAATGTACCGTACCGTGTACTGTAGCGGATTTTCCTTCCGTTAGTCTCTGTTGGGTTTGATCACCCTCTGTGTGGTTTCACCAAAACGACATCCTCCACTTAAGCAGGACACGCAGGATCGATCAACGCAGAATACCGGCCTGTTGGTCAGATTTCTCTCTATCGCGCGTAATTCTAAATCCGATTACGTTAATTCGCGTTATTGCAAAACTATATACAATCGACTTGACAAATTTTATTTTATAAGAAAGCTTGGCGGTTGAATTAAGAGGAGAACAGCCCAAAGAAGACAAAAAGTTACTAATTCTGTCTTTTTATGGCGCTATTATTGAATCATAATATTATTCTTGATTATAATTAACCATGTGCTTGCTTTTAAAACAATCAAATCGAACAAAGTAAGATCAATAAAAGGCATAAACTACGAACGCAAGATGTTAGCACACACCGATAAACAATATATTTATTAAACCAATACATAGACGTTTCGGTCTGAAATCAGACCATCCTCGGTATAAAAAAATTATCAACGCAAGTGAGAGTTATAGATAAGTATTAAATTCCGCAAACAAAAATTCAATAAAGTATAAAAACTAGTCAACGCAAATTACGATGTTCTTGATAAAAAGAATTTTTCCACTTCCTGTATCTGCTTCGCAACCTATTGTTAACACAGGTATTTAATTTATTTTACAATTTATAATTTAATTTTGTTCTTCTTCAGTTTTCTAACTTCGTTTTTTTTATACTTAAAATAGAATCGGGAAATTTTGTGCGCAATAATTTACACCGCGGATACTTACCTCGACTAGCTGATGTACTTTTCGCTTTTTTGACTACGGTTTTGACTTGCTGCGAATCTGTGCCTATGATTTCTTGGAGATGCAATTGTTAAAATTCTTTTTATCAAGAACATCGTAATTTGCGTTGACTATACTTTATTGAATTTTTTAGTTTATACTTTATTGAATTTTTGTTTGCGGAATTTAATACTTATCTATAACTCTCACTTGCGTTGAATACTTTATTGAATTTTTGTTTGCGGAATTTAATACTTATCTATAATTCTCACTTGCGTTGATAATTTTTTTATACTGAGGATGGTCTGATTTCAGACCGAAACGTCTATGTATTGGAGTTTAATAAATATATTGTTTATCGCTGTGCTAACATCTTGTGTTCGTAGTTTATGCCTTTTATCGATCTTACTTTGTTTAAAATTTAAACTACGTTTTGACCTAAATAATCAAATCGAAATCAAATAAAATATTAAATATAATCATTGATCAATAAATGAAGATTCGATAAAATCTTTCATTGACGAATCATTGTATTATACTAATATGTCGAGTTTTATAATTAAAAGTTGCTGAGCATAAAACTCTATTTCGTCGTTTTTTTTAAATGTTAAACTCTCTGATTTTAATTCTAATGAAAACACCGCACGATGGTTCGCAACATTGACGACGTCGATCGTTTTCCAGATACAGTTTCCGGGGAGTTTTAACTTTCGTGAACACAGCACAGAAACGGTACTAAAAATTCAAGTGTTGAAATAACGTGTGCATGAAACACGATCGGCCGTGGTCGATCCCACGCACGCACGCACGCACGCACGCACTCAGAGAACGTCGCACTGCCCTAAATTAACCGACAGCCACGTGCACCGGCTCCGTTCCCGTGTTTACGAGCTGTGAAATTCTGTGTGAAAAGGCAGTATAACTAGCTTGGACGCGACATACGCGAAGCTGTTGAAAAAGTAAATTATTTCTCTTGGCGCGCGTTATAACAGCAGCGGGTGGGCGAAATCTACATTTCAGATTTCGTTTTATTCGCAGTGCCCGCGTGCGCACGCGCGCAGGACTTAATTAACGAAAGCGGTAAAATATGTAAAAAGCGATTGCGGTCGACGTTAGCGTCACCAGAGAACGCAATTAAATTCCAAATTACATGGTTAATATAAACCAATACATGCATGTATACGTGAGAGATACCGTTATAAATAGAAATATTAAAAACGTTGATATGAATTTTTATGTAATATTCATTACACGCAATACGTAACTTGAAAATCATCCTTTCATTTAAGATTAATTCGTAATATGTTAGTGCGCATGGGAAAGAGCGCATTCGGAAAGGTCCAATATTCTCGAACGATTAATTGAAAGGTAAAAGGATCGGAAACGTCCCTCCATCGATCTCACGAGTTTGTTCGATTCTACAAGATGCCGTGCCAAGAGAACTCGTAGTCCGCAGGTCTATTGTGATAGAGTAATTGCGTTGTTCTTGAATAGTCCGGATTCCATCCCCAATTGTTTCTGCCGTCCGCGGTGTTCACCTCTTCCTCTTTCCTCTTTTTTTTTCTTCTTCTATTTTTCCACTTTCACACAAAGTCTGACTCGATTTTTTAAGTTATCGGATCACCCCACGAGCGTAGATCTTTCCTCCGCGCACGTTAAATTCCCTTTCATTACTTCAAACCCATAAATTATCCAATTTTCCGTACTGCGGCACGCAAAAAATAACGGATTACAGTCTCGAGCATCGAAATCCATTAGACTAATGAATTGCATTTGCGAGGTCGGTGTAGGATACTTCCGGAGTACCATGAGAAAATTTCGCTCGTACTTTCGGATTGAAAACGTTGGCCCGTTGCGAATGGTTCTTAATGCCTGCGGCAGTGCTAATAATAAGGTCAATTAATGTAAACCAGTAAACTCCGCCAGTTTGTAAACCGATAGAGAAATTTCATTTTAAATGACTTACACAAGCTCTGATGATGGTTACGATGCTAAAAATCGTGAGTCATTATTATTTCATTATGTTTACGTGCACAATGCCGAGCAAACATATGTGCGCCCATTGCACAAGTATAAAAAATATTATAGGTAACTGAAATATAAGAAATAGGTAACTATACTCGTAATATATTGTAGTACGTTGATGGACGCGAAACATAATACATAATGCCAAAATCGACATTTACGTTTAGCGAGGTTTCCAGAAATAATACTCATAAAATCGATGCAGAACAAAATCGTGGTTGACAAGATTTAACAGGCGACAGAGCTCATGTCAATAGACGTGCAATTTATTAATGTTTGATATTTATGTCAGAAAAATTGCGAATCTTTATCATCGTATACGCAGAGGCGAATTTTTCTACCGCCTCTCCTCCACATACAGTTCGTTAATGCGATCTTTTATCAAGTATTCCAATATCTTAAAAGCCTTTTCGGCATAACATATCCAGCTCTTTTCCAATGCTTCTTTAATTGTTTACAACATTTTTTATTAATAAAAATACATACATTTGCTTGGTACAGTTATGTCCCTTAATGTCTGGTGATTTGATTGAAAAAATGTTTTACAATAATATTATATTTTTTAATGAAAGTTACAAGCAATTGAATTAGGATGCTATATCTATATATGTATATCATGTGTGTAGTTTCTGTGGTATAGCGTTTAAGAGTTAATTAATGTGTGCGTGATTAACGCTAACAACTGACCAAACATCAGGGGTGACTGTTATTGCTATCGCACGTAGAAAAAATCGAGACAAGAATAGCGATATTTCGCACGAAAAAAAATAAAAAAAATAAAAAAAAAACGACGCGACGTAAAGTGAGGAAAAAAAAATGAAATGTGGGGAAAAAAGGAACATCGCGAAAAACACGATTCGCGAAACCGGTCAGAGGGCTGTCATTTTTCGAAACACGAGCGTTTCCGCGATACGGCGAGATGTTTCGCTTGTGTATTGCACGAGGCTGTTAATCGACGAGCGGCGATCTGCACATGGCAGGTTCGCACGTGCATATAAGCGCGTGGTGCATGCATTGATGGAAACGATCGCGAGGGAAGAGGGAGCTAGGTATCTTGACAG